AACTTCTTTATTGGCATGGAACCTTCAGAAATACATGCCTACAACCAATACTAATGATAAATTGAACCAGATGAACTCAGTTTATTCTTTTTTAGCTGAAGCTCGAAGAACCCCTGCAGCCCGTCAATGTGGACCAAACGTCAATGTAGAGAGGTAATGGACAAGCAGTCTGCTCTTGCGTACCAGGCTTCATTGGCAGTCCTCCAGCTTGTAGACCTGAATGTGTGTCTAGCTCTGAATGTCCGCTCAACAAAGCATGTGTCAATCAGAAATGTATAGATCCTTGTCCTGGTACTTGTGGACTGAATGCAAATTGTCAAGTTGTGAATCATAACCCTATTTGCTCATGTCCACCTGGACAATCCGGAGATCCATTTACAAGATGTTTGCCAATACGTAAGTATCAAAACTAAGTAAATTTTTAAAGTAAATTGAAATACATCTAGAATGACTGCTAAGCCACCGGTAGTCTTAACTTCACAATATCACAAACAAGTGCTAAGCAGTTTTTTTGTTCTCAGGAGAAGAGCCAAAACCAGTACCTCAAAACCCATGTCAACCAAGCCCATGTGGTCCCAACTCCCAATGTAGAGTGGTAGGAGACGCCCCGTCATGTTCTTGCCTCCCGGAATTCATCGGGTCACCTCCAAGCTGTAGACCAGAATGTGTGAGCAACTCCGAATGCCCTACGAACTTAGCTTGCATCAACCAGAAATGCACAGACCCATGTCCAGGTTCATGCGGTTTGAACGCTGAATGCAGAGTGGTCAGTCACACTCCGAATTGCGTCTGTTCGGCAGGATTTGTAGGCAATCCCTTCATTCAATGTGAACCAAAGAAAGAAGTAGTTGTTGCTGAAAGACCCACACCTTGCGTGCCATCTCCTTGTGGGGCCAATGCGGACTGTAGAGAACACAACGGTGCAGGAGCTTGTAGTTGCATACGAGATTACATCGGAAATCCTTACGAGGGATGTAGACCTGAATGTACGTTGAACTCGGATTGTCCATCCAACAAGGCGTGTATCAATAACAAGTGTAAAGACCCTTGTCCTGGAACCTGTGGACAGAACGCTGAATGCCAAGTCATCAACCATCTGCCTTCCTGTGTTTGTATACCAGGGTATACAGGAGATCCATTCAGGTTCTGCCACGTACCACCTCAGCAAGAACGTAAGTAACAAATTCTATCGACTTAAGCTATTCTTACCACCATATCATCAGTATCACAACTGCAATAAAGTACTTGTACTCAGTCCAAGTCATCAAACCTTGAACCAAGTGCCTTACATTCTTAATACTAGTATTATTCTCATAAGTACCTACAGACTACTAAAAACTGATACTTAACCGAAATAATCTTCAAAATATTTAGTTTGGTCGAATGCCACTTTAACATACTATAACGTTTTGATGGCTCGTTGTTAAAAAAAATGTCACAAGGTGGTAGCCAGCCGTTATTTTGAAGTTTTGGTACTTTCAAAAAATTAGTAACAGGACTGAATAGTATGATTCAACATAATTGACAAGGCATTAATTATTTTAGCACCAACACCATCAAATCCTTGCCAACCAAGCCCATGTGGTCCAAACAGCCAATGTAGGGAAGTGAATGGTCAAGCAGTGTGTTCATGTCTACCAAATTACATCGGAAGTCCTCCAGGATGTAGGCCAGAATGTACTGTGAGCTCCGAATGTGCACAAGACAAAGCTTGTATCAACCAGAAATGCACAGATCCTTGCCCAGGAACTTGTGGATTGAATGCAAACTGCCAAGTGATCAATCATAGTCCCAGTTGTAGCTGTAAGGCACTGTTTACGGGTGATCCGTTCACCAGATGCTACCCGATACCACGTAAGTGTCACCAAGATCCATATAAACAGAACAGAATCTTAATAGATTATCTAGGGTTTTGAAAAATCAAATAAATAATGCCTACTTTCATCATTTTAGCTCCTCCTCAAGAACCACCAAAGGTCGTCAATCCTTGTGTTCCATCTCCTTGTGGCCCTAACAGTCAATGTCGCGACGTGGGAGGCCGCCATCTTGCTCTTGCTTGCCTAACTACATCGGAAGTCCACCGAATTGTAGACCAGAGGTACTATCAACGCAGAAGTTCAAGTAACCTTGGCTTGCATTAGAGAAAAGTGCGTGGACCCATGTCCAGGATCATGTGGAGCAGATGTCGATCTGTAGAGTGTTGAACCACCTACAAACTTGCACTTGTCCAGAAGGATACATTGGAGATCCGTTCAGATACTGCACATCAAACCTCAGGAAATAGAGCCAGTTGAGACTGATAAATGCAACCCGAGCCTTGTGGAGCAAATGCTCAATGTCAGGATGGAGTATGTACGTGCCTACCAGAATACCAAGGAGATCCGTACAGAGGTTGCAGACCAGAATGCGTCTTGAACATTGATTGTGCAAGGAATTTGGCGTGTATAAATAACAAATGTAAAGATCCATGTCCTGGGACATGTGGACAGAACGCTCAATGTGATGTGATTAACCATATTCCTACGTGTACATGCAACGAAGGGTACCAAGGAATGCATTTGTCCATCTGTTCTCCATACCAGGTTAGTATTACATTTTCATATAGTAGTTGTAAGATTATATAATCAAGTTCGTCATTCCGACAAGTCCTTAAGAATAGTGAATACGGGTTGAGAAACAGAAACAAGAAATTGGAATGTTTTTGCTGCTCCAAAAAATGATCGACTACGCTGAAGACGCTAAAGCTTACGAAGCAATAAGCAAAGTTAGTCAGTCGTACAAGAAAACAGGAAGTACAGAACCCTATACTACACTATTTAAAACTGTAATGACTCATACGCGTGATCAACACGTGATCAGAGCTCGATCCCGGCTTCCTTCCAGTACAGCCGTATAGCGTACGACATATGTCGTTTCTGTGGCTTTGCGGTGATCAACAGCACAGACAGAGATGGAAATAATGGCTGATTGTTCTCCGCCGGTAGAACCAATGAAATCAAAGACGCGCCTCGACCGGCAGACTCATAGGCGACGGCAACGCATTGGAACGTGTTTCGTTGAGCGATCGCATACTGTGTATTTTTATAAGAATTGTTGTATGATTGTTATTGTTGTGGCTTCTGTGGTTACTGTTTGGTTATACTTAACCATGGAGAGTACAAATGGCACGAGTGGAATACTGAAAGCCAGGGAACACGTAGACGGCTTCGTAAAGCACTGAAGAGGGACGCGAAAGAAATCGTGCTCAACGTGCTCAATTATCTGAACAGAACTATGTCGCAGGGACATGCACTCGCGCGTTGTGAAAGTATGACAGGCGTTCCAGAGTGGACCATTCGCAGGGTGGTGCATGAAAAGAAGAAAACTGGAGCTACTACTGATCCAAAGTTTAATTTGAAGGGACGAAAGGCCGTTAAATTGGATGACGATAGCAAAATGGCGTTAAGGCGAACCGTACATTCATTCTTCTTTAGGAATGAGATACCAACCCTCAAGGCTGTACATGCAGCGATCAGGAAAATGAAATTATACCCCAAATGAGCGTCGAGGTATGAGGAAATCCCTGCACGAAATTAATTTGCGTTAGGAAACGCGTAATCGGAAGTCAGTATTGATAGAGAGACCTAAAATAGTCGCCTGGCGTCGAAAATACCTACGCGAAATGATTGAATATAGGCGACAAAGCAGAAAAATCTATTATTTGGACGAGACATGGGTAAATGCAGGTCACACAGTTAAAAAAACCTGGATAGACAAAAAACGTAGTGAGTAACCGACAAGCAAGCATTGAAGGTTTGTCAACAGGTCTTCGTGGACCCTCAGGGAAAGATCAAAGATTGATCGTAACTCATATCGGTAGCGATAGTGGCTTTTTAGAAGAGTGTGACTTGATTTTCGTCTCTAAGAAAGGAGGTGATTACCATGACGAAATGAATGCCAGCTGCTTCGAGAGCTGGTATCAAGGGGTGCTTCAGCGAGTTGAGCCCAACTCTGTGATCGTCATGGATAATGCTTCCTACCATAGTCGTCGAGCCGAACGTGTACCGACTATGGGATCTCGAAAAAGTGACATGCAGCAATGGTTGCGCGAAAAAGGAATCCCGTTTGACGATTCATGTGTGAAAGCTGAATTGTATGAAAAAATTAAACAGCACAAACCTGCGAACATTAGTTACGTGACTGATGAGATGGCCCGTCAATGTGGTGTCACTGTGCTGCGGTTACCGCCCTACCACTGTGAACTGAACCCAATAGAGCTCATCTGGGCTCAAGTGAAGGGTTATATTGCGCGCCATAACACAACCTTCAAATTACCAGACGTTAAGGTTTACTTGAGACTTCCATACAGCTAATAACGCCCGAAGCTTGGCAGAATGCTATCCGTCATGTTGTGAAGGAAGAAACAAAAATGTGGCAGCTTGACCACACCACATCGACACCATCATAGAGCTAGTTATAGTCAATTTCAACGAAGAAAGCGATAGCGACAGTTTATTACTGTCAGATGTAAGTGGAAGCAACGATGAATAAAGGTAATTCCCAAATGTTTGACTTACAATATGTTTCAAACCACTCTTTATTAAGCATGTGACAAATCTAGTTCACCCATGTTCAACATTCATACCCCGCCTATGAACAGCCGACTACTGGTAGTTAAGTGATGTTCACGTGAACATCGATGAGTCATTACAGTTTTAGATAGTTGTAGTAGTACTTTTGCTTGTCTTTCCACTGACTTTTGATGATGCTATATAATGAAGAGCAAAACCTTCAAACGTATCTCGTTAAGCACCTTTTTTGTAAAAACCTATGATGCTTTTGTGGTACAATAACATTGATTGCTCTTAGCTTTCTCTTGAGTTATAACAACCTTAACTTATTTTCAGCTGAAGTTCCAACGAATCCATGCAGCCCATCACCATGTGGACCAAACAGTCAATGTAGAGAGATAAATGGGCAAGCAGTTTGCTCATGCGTACTAGGTTTCATTGGCAGTCCACCCGCTTGTCGACCTGAATGTGTGACCAGTACCGAATGTCCACTGAATCAAGCGTGTGTCAATCAGAAATGTATAGACCCATGTCCTGGAACCTGTGGATTAAGAGCAAAATGCCAAGTGGTCAATCATAATCCCATTTGTAGTTGTCCACCAAAGTATTCTGGAGATCCGTTTACAAGATGCATTCCTATAGGTAAGTTCTATAATATCAAATACATAGTAATATTGTAAACAATGAAAGAAATTCGTTATATCAGATAATACTACTTTTAGTTCTCAA